CCTGCCACTCCCTTCTGCTATGATGTTCTAACTTACCAAGGGCCCAGAGCCATGGAGTTGGCCAACAATAGACTAAATTTCTGAAAACATGATTTCAAAATAAAAATTTCCCCTTCTAAAAATACAAGAACAAAAGCCTAAAACATAAAAACAGTTTCGAGAGTAGGCATGTGGATTAATTCCTCAGTTGAACCCATGACCTTTAAATGATAACAGAAGAAAGAGAACTACAAGTGAAAGCCACCAATTGACATATTTTACATACTGGGTGAAAGACACTATGAAGCATGGCCAGCCACCTAACATGACTGTCAGCTTCTTTTTGATAGCAGACTCAAGTGGGGCCCTTCTGTCCACCTGTCACATCGCTGCCAGACTAATCTTTCCAAAACACAAACTTGAATTGTGTCATTTTTCCATAAAAGTCCCAAACTCTTGAAAAGGCAGTTTTCATTCAATCTTTGGCCCCTGTCTCTCCATTCTACCTCTTGCACACCTCAGGAACCATAGGTAGTAGCACAGGTGAGCTCACCTAGTCTTGACTCAAGATACACCAACTCTGTTCAATGTCTTCTCCTTATTTCACTTGTCATTCCCTGCTGTTGTGCCTTTGCACATGCTTTCCCATCCTTACCGTCTACTCCTGGCCCCTTCTTCCTTTTTTCTACCTTGATAATGCTTACTTATTTTTTTAAACTACAACTTAAAGCTATATTCTTCAGAAAGACTCTTTTGAAAACACACATAATTAAACACCTTTTCTTGATGTTTCTCACGGTCTCTCCATGGCTCCTATCATGTCCCTATTTTGAGTGACTTTTTACTTGCATGGAAGCAATGAGCGATAGGTCTTAGGGTTTAATTTTTGTAACAGACAGTTCCTAGCTCATTATGGGTGTCCATAAAAGGCAAAAGTGAGGTCCAGCCATTTCTACCTCTAAACATCATAGTGAAGTCAAGCCTTCATCATGTCTGTTTGGACAACCTTAATTACTTAATTACTGATTATCCTGACTTTGGTCTTCTGGATAGTTCATCTCCTTACCTACTATTTTTCTCATTTAAGTCCATCACTCAACAATTCCCCCATGGCCCCTTAGGATAGCAGGTGCCCATCGAAAGCTAGGATCGTTGTATTATGCACATCAGTGGTGTCAAGGCAGAAAGTTGGCCTGTAAAATAAAATTCAGATTTCTCAGCAAGCCTTCCTAAATACCACAAGGTTTGATTTTCCTTCCAACCTCCATACTGCTAGATCCAGCCACTCCAGACTTTTACCTGAACCAAAATGCCCTGGGCTCTTGTGCAATTAGTGCCTTTGCTGATGTGACACTTTGTGAAGCTTTGAATTCCTTTCTTTCTTTCTTTCCCATGGCAATCCTCATTCTTCCAGATCCTTCTTAAATGCCACCTCCTCTGTGAAACCATCCTTCATTCCTTTCTGTCCCATTAGCATATTACAAACGCCAGCAACTCCTCCTCTCAGAGTTCAAGTTCACCGATACACTTTCTATGTATGCAACTATGCCCATTTAATAGAGTGAGGGGTGGATATCACTCTCACTCAATATGATACAAAATCCCTAATGAAGATGGAAGATTGTTATCTGATTTATCTTCATAGCATCATCTCTGCCCACTGCCCCCTCTAGCCCCAAGCATTCAGCCCAGTTCTTAACTGTCAATATCTGCAGATGTGATTTTCATTTTTCTTAGTAAAAGTGACTGCTCTATGAGAGTCCACAGTTCTGGAACCCACCATTCCCTCAAACCGTGAATGCCAATTCCTACATTCCCTTGCTTCTCTTCTTCTCTCCATACTGGGACCTTGGTTTATTTTGCCCTTAATACCTGATTTCCTTCTCCTGCCTTCCATTCTAATCCCTTTGGATGTATCTTTGCCTTAGTAGGCTCAAGATTTCTTTAATCACAACCCCCTGTAAGTTTCAGCCCCCACATCTGTTTCCTTTAGGAGGCCGTTCAGATCCTACGGCGGGCTCAGCTTTCATATTTTGAGCTGTTAATGCCTCTGCATTTCTGCCACCCTCCCCCACCCAAATACCTTCATCATTTCTTGACCCTTTAAACATCCTTATCCTCCATCCATTTCTGTGCTGTCTTCCCAGCACAAGTATGGAAACAGATTCCTTTTCCCGGAGTACAAATCTTTGCTTCAGATAAAGCCTTGGCTCCAGCGTTCTGGCCTCCTTCACCAGGACACAAGTGTCATTGCTGCCTTTAATCACTGGAGTTTTATTGCATCCATAAAGCAATAAAGTTTCAATCCACACACTACGCAAACAGTGGCTGCAGCCAGCTCTAACTTGTAATGATAAAAGCTGATTCCAGGGCTATTTGATGAGGTGGGTTTGGACCGCAACGGACACGTCTGTGGTTTTCTTTTCTTCTGTCATTCCTGAGGGTCCCTCTCTCACCCCGACTTTTCAAATTGCTTTTCTATTGTACTTTCTCTCCGTTTAGATCCTAGGTGGGCTTTTCTTTCTCTTTTAAACTTGATTCCATCTTGCGCTTCTCAGGCTGCACAGGTGGGGCTTGTCCAGGTCTCTTTTCTGCATGCTCACTGTCGACCTGTCAACTACCATCATGTCTGCAGAGGAACGCAGCCTGAAGGTCAAGTATCCCAGCTCCTGCATCCACTCACACATAGATGCTCAGCCATTTTTCAGTCGTATAATCCTGGGCAAATCATTTAACATCTATGTGACCCAGTTTCCTCATCCTATAAAGCAGGGATAATAGGAGTAGTTAGCTCATAATAAACAGTAATGTTGGCTGTCATTGTTACCAACTCCTTAGGTTCCAGCTAGGATTATGGAACACAGTCTTTCCCCCGTATTAGAAAAGCTCTGCAAATTCTTATTCATCCCCTCTCCTGACACTTTTCAAACATATGTGTGTCCGGGAGTTGTGAGGTTTCTGAGCCTATTCATGAACTCTAAAGCTACCCAGGATGCCTTTGAAAATTTGTGCCTGATTTAGTAAGATCCCTCACCCCCACCCCCGGGAGTGTGGCAGGCCACCTTAGTACCCCTGACCAGCAGAACCAGAGATGTGATGGGACGACTCAGAACACTTGTCCCTCTGTGAGCTGTCACCAGTCTTACAGGGTAAACAGAGGTCTGACTTCCAGGGAATGCAGAATCCACCGAAGACTTCAGAGCTGCACCTGAATAAGCCCAAAGCTGAGGCAATCAGCATCCTCAGCCAGTTTTGAAAGATCAGGATTCTAGGGCTTCAGGTAGAACAGGCAAAAGAGCAATTCACGGCGTTGGATGACCTGAGTGTGTCGACTGTGTGATTCCAGGCGAGGTGCTTCCCTCTCTGGACTGGTTTCCTGATCTGTGACTCCAGAGGAGGGCTGGGATCTATGAGGAGAATGAATTGGTTGATCATTAAGCCTCTTACGTCATAGACATTTTAAGTGATTCCGCGAAGCCCTGTTTTCTCAGTCAGGCTAATCACATGCCCACAGTCATAGGCATTGACACCATCCTGGATTTTACAGTACAACAAGGACTTTTAGGTATTTTCTCTAATTATCAAAGTGCATAAACAAATGTCTACATCAGCAGATATTGCCAATTCATTGGCTCCTGACAGAGAGATAAATGTCTGCTGCTTATCTTTGTATGTTTAGTTGCAGCACACTAGGCTTATGTTTTGTGGAACTTCTAAGGCCTCTTCCCTACCCTCCTTCCCAGAAGTGGGCCAAGCCCAACCTGGTAGCAAAATTTCTACTTACTTCAATAGTATTTACAAACAATATTCCACGCACTATTCTAAGACTATTCATGGATCTATTCATTTAATGCTTATAACTACATGAGTTGAGAATTTTTTAAAGCACAGACAGGTTAACTAGCTGCCCCAAGTCACATAGCCAGTGAGTAGCCCATATAGGAATCTGACTCTTAATTAACCCTACACTAAGCTGTTCCTGGTCACCTCCAGGCACACGGTGAGTGGGCAGCAGTGAGCAATATCAGACGTGCAGTTCTGCCTCATTTCTGACAACTTTCAGTTTCCGATTCCTAAGCGCCCGTCACAGAGACAGTGACTCTCTTCCAGGTCAGTAGGCCTGGGACTTCTAAGTGGCTGTGGTATGGCAGAAGTTGCTCTTTTCTTATAGGCAAAATGCCTGAGGCACATCTCTGCTCTACATTTTATTGGTCCAGATGCCCACCACCTGTGACTCCAGAGGCCCATTACCTGTAATCTTGGAGGCCTGTCTCCTCTTTTGTAGCTCATTTTACAATGAGGCTATTGCTACCTGCTCAGTAACAGAAAAATCAAAGGAGAGCAGAGATGCCAAAATACATTGAAAATTATGAAGTGAAATGCAAATTAAGGGATTGCTGTCAGCACCTTGCCTGTTATGGGCATTTGTTACATATTTGTTGAATTGACCTTAGACAAGAAGCAAAACAAAAAATTAGTGGGCAGGGGAGCATCATAACACATGAACTTGTCTAGTGGGCACAGGTCACCCAGAAGAAACTCAAAACCATGGTTTCCTAAAGCCCTTAACACAATCTGTTCTAAACAGGCACATTTTCCTCATAGAAGATTGGAAGCTGAAGCTCTGGGACCCACATGGATATTGTGTGCAGCCAGGTGATGAGTTGGTCCAGACCCCAGGCCTGGGCTCTGGGGATGGCAGAGGAGGACGTGCTCTTGTACACAGTTAGGGGGAAGGTGTGTGCCACTGCGGGCTATCATTCCTTCAAGCTGGCCTCCGAGCTCGGTGACAAGACAAAAATAGGTGCCAGCCAGAGCCAGGTCTAAGCTAAATCTAAATAACAGACATTGGATACTTAACTTTGTTTAGTCACTGAGAATGGAAACTAGAAATGAGTAGCTCCTAATTCTACCCTAAACTGAGCTCAGGCCAGTCCAGGTTGTCCCCATCGATGGCCCAGATACAGCTCTCTGGACGAGACTTATCTCAAGCAGAGGCCTCTGGCTTTGCGGCCTTTCCGTTCAATCCCTGCTTCTCTCTCCTGACGTAGGAGACTCAGCCTGTGAATATGAGCAGTATCCTCCCTTCAATGAAAAAAATTAAAAAAAAACAAAATAAACAGATCCCGCTGGTTTAGAAGAAACCCTGTGAGCTTCCAGGAACCAACTCCAGTTCATTTGCAAGCCGGAAGGTTAGCCTGTGTCAAAGAGAGAGAGGCGGCTGGTTTGCACACCATCCTGGTTGTGTCTCTTCAGCAGGAGCGGGCCCACCGGGTCAGCGAGGGCTACTGAGAAACCGTCTGTGGCCAATGAGGTAAAATAAATGCCACCACAGATGGACTCCAGGAAGAGAAAGTGTGGCCTTGAGGTGAGAAATACCAAGTCAGCATCGTTGAATCCCCAAATATTTTTATAGGGGTGTTGAAAGCAACAAAAAAAAAAAAGGAAAGAAAAAAAATTTACCAAAACTCCCCACAGGCCCAACAAAGCCACAGTGTGTTCCCATTTACCGCCAGCCTGCTCATCATACCCTTTGCCTCTTTTACAGTTAGGCTGTGAACTTGAGGAGTGGAAGAGGCTTCCTATAAACAAAAGCTAGCAGACATCCCTTCTCCTTCCTCCTCTGCAGAACCAGAGGGTCAAACAATGACTTAACCTTCAGTGTTCATTAACATTTGGGTTCCCTTTTGCAAACTAATAGCCAAAGAGAAATGATAAATAAACTGGCAATTGGAAATGATAAAGGGAGGCAACTCCAGCCAGCTCAGAGCTACTCTTGTGTCAGACCATCCTCCTTCCAAGCTGACTCTGAGGCTGCTCCCAGATCCCTCTGGGGCAGCAAGCCTCGGCTTTTCCTCTGTAGAATTCGGTGTTGCCCTGTCTCTCCAGCCCAGAACAAGGGGAATGCAGTCCTTGGAAGAGGGTGTTTGGTGAGCAAGATGGTGGAAACTCAGAATTCTAACCCAGACCCAAGCCTGGGAAGAAAACCGCAGGCCTCCTCAAAAGACCCTTGCTTCCTCTCCTGGTCTTCCTAAGAGCAAACCTCTCACTGCATCTCCTCACGTTGATTTTATGTGCTTCCTTCTGACCTTCAAGGTTTAGCTCTGTCCCTTAGCCCTCTCTGCACCTTCCATGGGCCTCCATTATTCTCAGTCATCTTTGGACTTGAAACCCTGAATGGCACAGCTCTTCTTTGAGATCACATCATAGTGTCTCTGGTTACCTCTTTCGTTATTTACACCTTACCACGAGGGAAAAAAAAAATTTGTTTCAAAACAGTTTGCTTTCCATGTCCTCCCAGTGCAGGGCCACAAAGCCAGCTACTTGCCGGTCTCATTAACGTATTTGCTGCAGTCCAGAAGACAGTGAATTTTAAAAAGAAAAGTCTTGACTGTCTTCTCTATAAAAATGTTTGGTGTCTATATCTTCTCTCTCTCAAGGCCAAGTTTGGGTTCTGCTATATCCCTGACTTTCCCCTAATCCAATCTTTTACTGATAGCCCATCTCTTACTTTTCTGTCCATCTTTGCCTACTTGATGCATCTTGTCTCCTTGGTTCTGGCAGGTCTTGGGGTCCTAAGAGGGACCATGGAGCTAGTCATCTGGCGACTGCTTCTCTATTTATAATTCCATAAGGTACAGGATTTTGTTAGGATAACTGTTTTCTTTACTTAAGTTTAAGTTTTGTTTCCTTTAGAAGATTCTGTAGCAGGGTGTTTTAGTCCGCTTTTCCTTTGCTGTGCCCAAAGGATCTGACAAGAACAAACTGAAGGAGAAAAAGGTTATTTGGGGGCTCATAGTTTCAGAGGTGTTAGTCAGTAGAAGGCCAACTTGATTCCTTGGAGTCTAAGATGGGAAAGCAGCTGGGACATGGCCCCAGGAAGGGGAGGGAAGAAAGTGTTTCTTTCTCCATGGACAAAATATAAAAATATCCTCAGAGACCCATCTTCTCCTGCCACACCCTACTGGCCTACAGTTACCAGCCAGTTAATCCCTACCAGTGGATTAATGCACTGATTAGATGAAGGCTCTCATAACCCAATCATTTCACTAAGCTTTCTTGCATTTTCTCTCACATGAGCTTTTGGATGACACATATCTAAACCTTAACACAGGGGTTGTAAATCTATAGCTATCAGTCAGCTCTCCATCACTATGACAAGATAACCTGAGAAAATCAACTTAAAGGAGAAAAGATTGATTTTGGCTAATGGTTTCAGAGGTTTTCGTCCATAGTCAGCTGGCCCCATTATTTCTGGGACTGCAATGATGTAGAATATCATGGTGGAAGAGAGAAAAACAGGCCACTGTTTCTCTATTTATAATTCCAGAAGATACAGGATTTTGTTATGATAACTGTTTTCTTCACTTACATAAATTTTGTAAGTGGTCGGGAAGCAGAAAGTGAGAGAAGAAGGCTTCCAATACAGAAGGGACAAAATACAGCCTTCAAAGACGTGCCCCCAGTGACCCACCTCTTTCAACTTGGCTCCTTCTTGTATAGTTTTCACCAGCTCCCAGGAGCACCACAGAACGGTGACCCAGCATTTAGCACATGGTCTTTGAGGGACGTTTTAGATCCAAGTGATAACATCAGAACATACAAGAATTACCTGGAGAGTCATTAAATCATAGACTCTACCTCTTGGTACAAATATCAAAAGATCATTGGTCTGGAGTTAGGCCAAGGAACCTGGATTGGAAGGTTGCACTTTGAGAAAGGGTCTCTCAACTAACTCTGTGGAGGCAGGTCTCAAGCCACTTCTAAGTCGTGCATGGTGTGAGATAGAGCAGAGCTTGGGGAAGGCAACTGCTCCAAAAAGACTCTCAGCTGGTTGGTTAAAATGAGGTAGGATTCCCATCCAAGATGGCTTTTTGGGGCCGGCCTCTCTCCCACTGCAGGGTTAAAAATTTTCACCTGAGTTTTCAAGTATTAAATGACTTCCACAGAGTTCACCAGGAAAATCCCTCAAATTCCAAGCTAATTGACAGAGATTCCAGGGATAGTTAGCAAATACTTCCCCTTTCTCTATTGAGAAGCAGAAAGAACAATAGTTTGGCTCTCAGCCCACCCAGCAAATAGCAGTCCACCAGGGTTCTCTGCAACTTCTTAGCCTTTCACTACAACATGGATGAACATAGAGTTTCTCCATAATACAATTCAAAGTCTAAAAAAGAAAATGTTGTGATACTTGGAGGCAAACAACCTAGATGTTTTGAGTTAATTTGGCACAACTGAAATGATTTTTACACTTACAAAAAAAAAAAAAAATCAAAGTTCACTTTTGGCCTCCAAAGTGCTGAGATACAGCTGTTTTCAAACTCTAATAAATTTGGCATGAATATCATTTCTCATTGTAATTTTTTAGAAGACAAAAAAATGGAATATGAACTAATGTAATAATAGA